TATTATTTATTTCTAAGTCATTTAAAATGCATGTAGCCTTTTCTTTTTATTAGTGATTTCTATTTTCAAAATTTTATTTCATTTTCTAATTCAACGTGAAAGGAAAATATGAATTTATCAGGTTTGTATGTTCTGATTTAGAGGAAGTGAAAGTTCTCTCTCTGTATTTAACAAAGAACATGAGAAAGCTGTGGTCTTCAAGGGGTAGAAATTTCCCCATCTTTCGAAATACCATCTGCACTCCTGTCAGAGAAAGCTGCAAAGTCATGAAAAATAGTGGTTACTGACACATTACAGGAAAATGGAAACTACTCTATTAGCCATGTTGTCGGCCTGGGTTGGACTGTGGTATCGAGTGGGCAAGCTTGAGTGATAGCATCCCCTGTGCTTCTGATATTGAGCTTGGCGTTGCTCATTTGGGATGGAAGCTACACACAATGTGAAGGCTGCACATGGTCTTGGGTTTTGTTTTGTTTTCATCTTAGGGAAAGAAATGACATCTGTAAGCACAGAGGAAATAAATCCTAGTATTGAGAAAGTTAATGACAAAGTATGTACCCTGGTTCCTAAGATAGTTCCTTCTCAGGTTTCTTGTCCTGTTTATGGGTTGGAGACATTCATGCTTTTGCTTCCAATATATTTCCTTTAGACCTTATTTAGCCTGTTTCAGTTGTAAAATTCAGAGCAGAAGTGTTTATATTGTTAAATGCAAAGTATCTTGGTGTGGGAAACTTTTTCTTGCTCCCAACTCTGGAGGCAGACCCCTAAATATTAAAATCAGGGAAAGTTTTAGCACAACAAGCATTTCAGGCCTTAAAGTTTTGCATAGTAAGAGTTCCTGTTTCTGGAGGGTTCTTAAGAGCCATGCCAAGGGGTTGCAGCCCCACCCGAAGCAAGGCATGTCCCTGTATCACCTTAACTCGAACAAACTCATCCATATGGAAATGTGTTTGGCTTAAACATTAGCATGGAATTAAATTTACTTACAAATATTTCAGAGCATCTTTAAAGTGTCTTTGTTGCTCCTTACAGCAATATTTCAGTGAAATGGCCTCATTTAACTACTGATGAAGGTGAGGCACTTTAGAATCAGGCTTCTAGGCCCTTCCTGGTAAACTATCCGTCTTATACTGGCATCTGTATCATTGCCTTCACAAAATGACTAATAGCACCAAGTCCAGGTTCCTTTGCTTGAAACATGTGCTCTGAGACTCCCCCAGAGTGGGCTGTTTCCTGCCCCCTGCTCTTGCCCCCTGCCCTTCTCCTGGATGAATTCCATCCCCTCCACCTGGTCTTGCCAGCCAGTATGGTAGCCACAGGCCACGTGTGGCTATTATGCACTTGAAACGTAGGCAGTCTGCATTGAGACGGGCCATGATGTAAAACACACACCAGATTTCAAAGACTTAAGAAAAAAATGTGAACTATCTCATTAATAATTCTTTATATTATTACATGTTGAAGTGGGAATATTTTTTTTACCTATTGTATTAAAGGAGCTATAATATTAAAATTAATTAAAATGTGATTGTTAGTGGTGAAATGGCACCAGAATGTTACTGGCAATTGGACCTCAGTTCAGCATCCTTAGTACTTGAGTTCTGGCTAATAAAGAATTCGGAGCCGAGAAACAAATACAAGCAAAGGTTTGTTTAGAAACTCACAGACAGAAGCGAGCCATGGAAGAGTGAGCCAGCTGGGCTGCGTGGGCTCAGGAAACAAGTTACAGAGGATAAAGCAGGGCTCTTGGAGATGAGGAAAGAGAAAGGCAGAGAGAGAAGGCACCCGGGGGAAGAGGAACGGGAAAGGCTTGGGGGTGTTTCCCAGACAGTTTGCACTGGGGAAAGAAGGGGGCGGGAAAGGTGCAGATGTGCTCAGGAAAGGGGGGGCGGGGAGTGGGAAAGAGGGAGAAAGAAAGAGAGAGAGAGCCCGGCCGGGTGTGGTTCAACAATTGAGCATCAACCTGGGATCCAGGGGATCGAGGTTCTATTCCCCGTCCTGGCATGTGCCTGGGTTGTGGGCTCGATCCCAAGTCGGGGGCGTGCAGGAGGCATCTGATCAACGATGGCTCTCTCATCATTGATGTTTCAACTCTCTCCCTCTCCCTTCCTCTCTCTGAAATCAATAATGATATATTAAAAAAAGAGAGAGAGAGAGAGAGAGCACCAGGTCTTCCATCCTAAGGGTTTTTATCCCCTTTCTAAAGGCAGGGATCTCAATAGAACATTCATCAGCTTTTCCAGGTGTGTCCTTTCAAGGTCCTGGTTGCTAGGTGCCAGGGCAGGAGGCCATTAGCCATTGAAGTTGGTCCTGATGTCATCCATGGTGTTGCCACTCCTGGCCTTGCTGCTTTTCTGGGCCTGGAGCTGAAACACAACTGAGGCCTAGATGTTATCTCTAGTTTGACCAAAGCTCTGTCTCTGTGGTCAACAGGCCCGAGGCTCTGCTTCCAAAATCACTTGATGCGGGTCAGAACCTCATCGTCCTGAGGGTTTGACGCTTAAGGGAGCGGTTGTGCAAGGGAGTCATGAGGCCTTTCTTGGGCCCCTTGTTCTTCCTCTAAGCGGGGGAGGGTCCTACCGCATGACTGTCGAGACATGAAAGGTCACCCTGGGGACGAGTCCTTGTTTGCCCAGCTTTGCCCGTTGCTAGGCACCCGGGGCTTCCCGCCCTGGTCACATTCCATACCTGGCCTCGCTCCCCTCTGCTCATGCCTGCCCGACTGCCTCCCGCACAGCTGCTGGAAACAGCATCAGCCTGCGGCTGGCGTGTTTCTGTGCGACAGCTTTGCTCTGGAGGGCTCCTCAAACTTCACAGCTTAGAATAAGTTCAATGCCGGAAGGCCTCCCTGACACCCCAGCCTCTTTCCACTCTGAATTAATACTCCTTCCCCTGCCTCCTCGCAGCGCCCCACCCCTGTCTCTCACGTGGCTCAGTCCTGCGCTTCCTTCGACAAGCCTGTGATGTTTCTGGGAGCTGAGGCCAAGGCCGGGTGGCCAGGGTTCCCCCGCCTCTCCCTTCTCCCCCTGTAGCATGGTACCTGGTACCCAGAACATGGAACTAAAAAACAAATAAATGAAAAAAATAAAGAGGCTTTAAAACTATTAGAAACAGAAGTATGATCATAAAAGGGTCAGAATCTGCTCTGCTTTCTTTTATTTTGCAAAACTGTTTGAGATGATAAGAAGCTGTTATAACCTGTTTCCGTTGCAGAAATGTTGGTATTAAGATTTTTTTATTGTGTTAAAGTCCACATAACATAAAATTCACCATCTGGACCATTTTTAAGTGTATAGTTCAGTGGTATTAAATACATGTTGTGCAACCATCATCACCATTCATTCCATTATTTTTTCATCTTGTAACAAAATCTATACTTGTTAAAAAATAACTCCCTATTTTCCCCTTACCTCAGCATCTAAAACCACTATTCTACTGTCTGTATGATCTGGGCTACTCTGAGTACCTCATATAAGAGGAATCACATAGTCCTCGTGTTTTTTGTAACCTGCTTGTTATGCTTAGCTTCACGTCCTCAGGGTTCAGCCACGTTGCAGCATTTTGCAGAATTGCCTTCCTTTTCAAGGCTGAGTAATATTCCATTGTACGGCTAGACCACGTTTTGCTTATCCATTGATCTCTCAACGGACACTGGGTTTTAGCTGTTGTGAGTATTGCTACTATGAGCACAGATATACAAATATCTCTTTGAAATTGCTGGGTCATATGGAAATTCTATTTTTAATTTTTTGAGGAGACTTTGTACTGTTTTCCACAGTGGCTGCCCCATTTTACAGTCCCACCAACAGTGCAGAAGGGTTCCAGTGTCTCCATCTCCTCACCAACACTCAATTTTTGTTTTTCAATAGTAGTCATCCTAATGGGTGTGAGGTGAAATATTTTAACACTGTGTAATTATATTAAAATAGTAATCTAGTCTTAACTTTGATGGACCTATTTTCTTCAGTACTTTCCTTAACAGTTTCCTTTTTTTTAGTGATTACCTGTGCTTCATTAATTTCCATAACCAAGCTGGAGTGGAATCCCAAAGAAAAGGTAAAATTCAAGTAGTTTTCCATGTGGTTGCCAAGCTGGGTGATGTGAGTGCGGCTGGGTGAAGCCTTCTTAGGAAGGATCACTGCCATTTCTTAGGACATGTTGCAAAATAGGAAGCAAATGATTAACTTACTGTTCAACTATTTGGCAATTTGTGGGTCAGAAGTAGCTATTGGGGTAATCCCAGATGGTTCCTGGGATTAGTTTCAAAATTCTGAATTCCTGATTCTCTCTTAAACAGTTCATCTATGATTAGTAAAAGGGGTTGGGCATTTAAGGGTCGGGGACCAATGTGGATGACGGTGTATGGAAGCCAGGCGAAGCATGAGTCCAGCTTCGGTGTGAGTGGATGGCTCGTTTCAGGGGAGAGTGACACATAAATAGGGTCAGGTATAAATTTTCCTGGACTGGTTTGTTCAGGGACTTAGGAGGTGGCCATAGAGGCTCATGCCTGAGTTAGGTGACCAGAGTTAGGAGCCCAGAGTTAGGTGACCGGAGGTCGGGACAGCATGGCCAGAGGAAGGTTCTGGCGCGGGATGGGAGCCTGCAGGAGACGAGGGAGAGACGGAAGGTGCTGAGGGAGAGAAAGATTCAGACAAATAAAAAAAAGTGCTTCCTGAAGGTGAGACATCACAGCAGAGCAGCCTCAGGTGTACTTTATTGTTCAACCACTTGGGGGAGACTTTGCCCCACAAATCAGACAAAAATCAGCTGCCGGGACAGATTCATCAAAGCATATCCCCAGACAGTTGAAAATCTTTTTTCATTTCATATTTAATCTTAAAAATGTGAAAAGTACCTGGTTTTCTGTTCACTCCATAAATTACCGTGCCACTCTTGGATTGCCTTCTGCTCCCAATACCAATAAATGAAAAGAAAATCCTTTGCATGAATTCACTCAGTGGAATAAGCATTTAGGTGCTGCCTCGGACGGATGGGTGCTGCCTCGGATGGATGGGTGCTGCCGTAGAGCTTTCCTTGTGCAGTCCTGCGTGTTAACTGACTGGGTAGGGAGGGTGAGAACTGGAATGTCCTTGTCTCATTGTAGGTAGCAAGGACGTTAGAGCTTGGCCCGCACTCACACATGGATAGCGGAGGAACCTGGACTGCCGGTTCAGCATACTTTCATTAGTATTGTGCTAAAGAAGTTTCTGCCAGAAATTTATAAGCCGCCTTTATTGTCCTGGGATGATAAGGGGATGGGGCAGATCCCCTGGTTCTGTCGCCAAAAGGAGGCAACTTCTGTTCTCTGCCCCCTTAGTGTGGGGTGGTCAGGTTCTCCCCAGTGTGACCTGGGTGAGGAGAGGGGTGGGTGGCATTGC